AAGTGTCTCCCTGCTATATTTAGACACAATTCACCCTCCTGGATCTCATAAGGCACTTCAGTCTGTGTCTGCAGTTCTGGGAAGCCTAATGTTCTAGGAACTACACGGATGCACTTCCAGCTTCAGTGTTTGGCCAACACTGCCCTTAGCAAGCCGCAGTGTTGTTGGTGCACGAGGCAGAACTTCTTCAGGTGCCTGAACTCCCCCTGAAGCACACTACCAGCACCAATTCACCAAAACCCTGACAAACGGGGATTTAAGCCTTCAGCATCACCTGTAAACATCAGTGGCGTTGTGGTAGCGAGGGAAATCACCACCAGCCCAGCAATGTTGGAGATCAGTCCTATCTCTGCCACCCAGGTGTCCTCAAGGCAGAGCTGCAGCAGCCTCAGCCCCGCCAGGCTGCTCAGGTAAGCCAGGTAGCTGGCGGCCGAGCCGTACCCTATGAGATCAGAAGCCCAGCACAGGGGGAAGCCCAGCTCGTACAAAACATAGATGTCCTTGGCTCCGAAATGCACCGTGACAATCAGAAAGAAAGCCAGGGAGTACAGAGCCAGCTTCCACCTGGAGCTCAGGTGCTCGGGGGCCGTGTAGAGCCTGTACACAGCCTTGTAGTGGCTGAGCGTCAACAGCCTGGCCGCCTTCTTCTGCTTCACCGACTCCCGGAGGAGGAAAGCGGCGTAGAGAGTGGCAGCAAGGCTGGCAGCAAAGGCCAGCCAGAAGGGGTTGATGTAGCCCTGGGCCTTGCGCCACTGGCCCCCACCGATGCTGGCCACCATGCCCGCGGTGCCCAGGCACGCCTCGAGGATGGCCACGCGGAACGTCCGCGCGCCGCGCTCGCTGGTGTCGGCCACGTAGGAGAAGCAGCTGGCCAGGATCAGGTTGTAGTCGCCCGTGAGGCCGCTCAGGATGCGTCCCAGGAGGAAGAAGGCGACGTGCAGCTCCAGGTACATGACCAGCAGGTAGATGGCTGTCTGCAGGGCCATGCCCGCCGCCGGCAGGATGAGCGCCGGGCGCCGGCCCACGCTGTCGCTCCATGCGCCGAAGAGGGTCACGGAGAACAGGCTGACGAAGAAACCTCCCAGGTTGATGTAGAGGTTCCAGTGGGACACCAGAGCTTCCACCTCCTGCAGGAGAAATGGGCGGCTGAGGAGCTCCCACAGCACCCACCGGGCTCCCCACTCCTCCTGGGGCTCCCTGCTGCTCGCCTTCCCCTCCGGGCTCCCCGCTCCCTTTGGGGGCTCACATTCCCTCCTGACTCTGCTTCCAGGGACTCCCAGCTCCTCTCAAGCTCCCTGTTCCCCCGGGGCACCTCTCCTCCCCTGCTCCCCCAGAGCTTCCCTCTCCCCTGGGACCTCCTGCTCAGCGTGAGCCCCCCACTCCCTCCGGGGCTCCCCAGTTCCACGGACCCGCCTTTCCCCCCGGGTCCCCATCCATCCCGTTCCCCCCGGTGTCCCCACCTGCCGCAGGGGGTCGGCGCTGGCGTTGCCGTCCCCGCAGCCGGAGGACTCGGTGCTGTTGCGGTCGCTGTAGCCGTGCTCGGCTCCCAGCCGGTCCCACAGGTACTGGGTGGCCAGCGGGCCCTGCAGCCCCAGCGACACGGTGGCCAGGAACAGCAGCGGCTCCACGGCGAGCAGCGACGGGCGGCGCCGCCCGGGGGGCACCGGGGGCTCGGCGGGCGGCGGAGCGGCCATGGCGGCCACGAGGGGCGGAGGCTCCGCCGGAACGGGACTGGCTCGGCTCTGCCCCTAACGGGACTGACACGGCTCCGCCCGGAACGGGACTGGTTCTGCTCTGCCCCTAACGGGACTGACACGGCTCCGCTTGGGATGGCACTGACACGGCTCCGCCCGGAACGGGACTGGCTCGGCTCTGCCCCTAACGGGACTGACACGGCTCCGCCCGGAACGGGACTGGCTCGGCTCCGCCCGGAATGGGACTGGTTCTGCTCCGCCCGAACGGGTCTGACACGGCTCCGCTTGGGATGACACTGACACGCCTCCGCCCGGAACGGGACTGGCTCTGCTCCGCTCGGGATGGGGCTGACACGCTTCCGTCCGAACGGCACTGACACGGCTCCGCCCGGGATGGGGCTGGCACGGCTCCGCTCAGCACGGTCCAGGCTCCGCTGTGCCCGGGAACGGGACCGGCTCGGCTCAGCACGGTCCAGGCTCAGCTCTCCCGGCACCGGACCGGCTCGGCTCAGCACGGTCCAGGCTCAGCTCTGCCCGGGACAGGACCGGCTCGGCTCAGCACGGTCCAGGCTCAGCTCTCCCGGCACCGGACCGGCTCCGCTCAGCACGGTCCAGGCTCAGCTCTGCCCGGGACGGGACCGGCTCGGCTCCGCACGGTCCGGGCTCAGCTCTCCCGGCACCGGACCGGCTCGGCTCAGCACGGTCCAGGCTCAGCTCTCCCGGGACCGGACCGGCTCCGCTCCCTCCGCCGCCGGGGGTTCCCGAGACCCCTCGGCGCTGGCGCTGCAGCGAGCCCTAAAGTGCTAAAGCTGCAGCTCTCAGGGGATGATGTTCCACAAAATCACGTCATGTTTGAGGCGAAAAAAGCCCTCTGAGAGCATCGAGTCCAAGGTTAACCCAGCCCGGCCGAAGCCACCGCTAAACCTTGTCCCCAAGTGCCACATCTTCAGAGTTAAATCCCGGCAGGGATGGGGCTGCACTTACCTGAGCAGCCTGTGCCAGTGCCCAAACAGCTCTGGGTGAAGAACTTGTGCCTAATATCCAGCCTAAACCCCTGACATGCTTTCATGCTGTTCCCTCGGGTCCTGTCACTGGTCACCAGAAAGGACAGAACAGCCCCTGCCCCTCCAAGACCCTCATGAGGAAGTTGAGGATGAGATGAAGGCTCCCCTCAGTGTTCTGCAGGCTCAACAAACCAAGCAAAACAAAAATCAACATTTTGACTGCGCTAGGATCAACAAAATATTGTATTTAGCAATATGTGGTCACATCTATTACTTCACAGCACGTTAGACAATACTGCTTTTCATAAAGGACAAAATAACTTAGAAACTCAGTTAATAAAGAAGGTTTTGGCTGTGCTGTTTGGTTTCTTGTAATGTTTGGCTGCCTCAAAGAGCAGATCAGGAAGCAGACACCAAGCTGTCCTTTGAATTCAAAGCACATGATTCAGAGTATTGTATTAACCTGTTCATTAGTTATTAACCTGTTATTAGTTTGGAGCAGCTCCAAACCAAAGTAAATTGGCAACGCTCCTCTGACAGCACCGAGGTGCTCATGGGCCACAGGAAAAGCTTGGACAAGATATAAACCACTCATTTTGCAGTAAAGCACTTATATAAATCATTTTTAGTATCTTTGAAAGTGTTGTGACTCACATGACAGTGGCAAACATCTCTATGGAGGTGCTGCTTTTAAAGGACAGGCACAACTCTTCACCTGAGACCCTTCCCCACGGGTATTTACACTCCATAAATGAGGCTGCAGCTGGAGGCCAACCTTTGTGTTGCAGAGATGCAAAAACGAGGTGTTCTTTTAGATTTCCATCGCAGCCTTAGGGCATAAGAGCAAAAAGCAGAAAAATGACCTTGCTGTTGGCTGCTGTCGCTGCACCTTGTCAGTAATTAAACATTCAATGGATGCAAGGTGTGGGGGAACAGAATTAATCTGAAAGCTCTTGCTCATTCTTTCTCTACCAAGGAGGAGATACTGAGGCTCAGGGCTGGCACTGAGAAATGTGATGCTGTTGGTTGGGAGCAACATGCCCAAGTCCAGCTTGCAAATCTGGCAGCTGATTTCCCATCATTAGCACATTCTTGAGAGAAAACAAGCCCTGGCAGAAAAGGGAGGAGAGGCAGAAACAGCAGAAGCTTTTTGTGGAGCTGACAGATGACCTAATGGCTGTGCTTCCCTTTGTCTCTCTCTCGAAAGCTATAAACAGTACCAGGATAATTTAGAGCAATTAATGGAAATGTTATCATTATTAGCTGAGGGATGTACCTGGATGATCTAATAAAGCCATCAGCGTGGTATTAATGAGAAATTACCCTTTGTACTATTTTATTTTATTTTATTTTATTTTATTTTATTTTATTTTATTTTATTTTATTTTATTTTATTTTATTTTTTTTTTTGTTTGATTTTTTTATTATTACTTTTATTAATTTATTACCCTCTGGACTTAAAATGCTTAGTACTGTTTCTCCTAATGTATAGAATCTAGTGATTTGCAGCTTGTATTTTGGAAGTTGCCTGCAACTGGGACAAGAATCACTGCTAATTTCCCTGCAGCACCTTTTCTTCTTAATTTCTCCCCTGCCCCAATACACCCTGCAAGTTCCCAGAGCTGTGCCTATAAACCTGCAAGATCAAAAATGTGGGGAAAAAAATATCTCAGTGTCTGCAGAGATCTCCTGTAGCCAAGTGTTTCCCAATCCACTAAGACCTAAGGTAAGCACTGTCAGTCCCTTTTTGTCTGGGGACTTGTGGCACTGCTGACAGCAGCTCTGCCCAGTGGGTGTTGCTACCCAAAGTGAATTTCTCAGTCAACAAACACGAACATCATAAAAAATTATGTTTATATAACATTTTACACGGCTGTTTCTAATCCCTGTATTTGAGCATTACAGATGCCATTTTCAGTGTTCCCCTACATTTTTTGAAAATTGAAATTATTTTTTCAGCCTGTTTTGGAGGGAGCAGTTTCTCTTTTTTTAATAGGAGGAATAACAGTACCTATTCAAAGAGGGCATTATGAGAGACCAAATCATTAATATTATGTTTTTAAAAGTGTAGGTCGTACTTTCAAAAACCCACTTGCTCCACAAGGAATTCATTCTCTGATGGATTTACCACCTTTCTGAAAGATTATCTTAAGAAAGTTCCTGCTCTGACACTCTTTTACTGTCTCCTCCCTTCTTTGTTCCCTTCCTTCTTTCTCCGATTACAGTTCCAAAAACAACACCCAATCTCCCGAGGTCAATGGTTAATATTCCCTGGTGTTTATATAGCTCCAAGCAGCAGATTCCCGGCCCTTCAGCACTGGGCCAGCTCCAGCACCATGGCTTTCTCCTGGCAGGCAGTGCTGGCCTGCAGGAAATACCTCATCATCGTCCTGGTCCCCCTGGTGTTCCTCCCTCTGCCTCTGGTTCTGCCCACCAAGGTAAGGAATTTTTAAAATTCGGTTTAAAAGCCTCCACGTGTCAGAGCTGCTCTTTTTGAGGCTTCTTTTTGAGGTTCTTTCTCAGAGCACCTGCACCTGCTGCTTGGAGATCTCTTTTCCTTTTTTCCTGAGTGTATTGGGGCGATGCAGCAGCAGTGGGGCATAGATGGAGATGAGGAGCTCCAGCTGTGATTGCATCTTCTGGAGGAACACTCAGACTGACAGAGATTTTGGGACTCCAGCTTTGCATCTGGCTGATTTACAAAAGGACTTTCTATGCTGAAGAAAGTGTGGACCTAGAGCTCAATTTTAATCCCCCTTTTCATTTTCTAACAATGTTCAGTCCACAACTTCTTTTATTTTTTTCCTTGTTGTCACTGCTGCTCAGAAGAAGCATTTTTAGACAGACAAGGCATTCTGATACATAAGGGAAAACAACATGCATTTCAGTCTTGCTTTAACTTATTTATGTAAGAATCCTCCCAAACAAGGATTTTAAATTTAAAACACCAAGTCTGGAAGAGACCTGGCTTAGGGTTCCTTCAGGAAAAGTTGACTGAGGATCTGCAGTGTCTGGTATTTCTGGGGTATTGATCATTTAAAGAGAGAGCTGTGAGCTGACAGACTCCCAGTCTTCTGCTGCTTCTTCACTGCTTCTTGCACTCCCAACCTCTTCATGCAGAAAGATCTGATCTCTGATCTCTTATTACAGCCCCAGCACCACGAAATAACTCATCCCAAACTGCCCCTCCTGTCACTTCTCCTTGGACACCAAATCCTCACTCTTCCCTCTGGTCTCTGCCTCCCAATCCCTGCTGGTTCCCAGTTTAGATTCCTTCTCCCAGTTCCACTCTCTACGTCCCTAACCCTTCCCTCCCTAACTCAGCTCTGAGTGTGGCAGCTGGTCAGCTCTCATTCCCTCACTAGGCAAATAAAATAGTTTAAATTATTACTTAAAAGCTTGCTAGGAAAGCAAAAAAAAAAAAAAAGAAGAAGGAAAAAGTACCTTTTTTTGCTAGTTAACATTCAGTGGGCAAAGGAGTCACTGAAGTGAAAAGAGATCATGATCAGGAAAGTTCTAAGGAGACAGAGAGTGATTTTTTTTTTTTTCATTTTTTTTTTCGTGTCCTGAGGCCACGAGTTCAAACTCACTTACTGGAGGCATTGTTACATACAGTGAGTCCTTGGAGTTACCTGTGGAATGATTTGGCAGTCTTGGTTCAGTTGCTCTTTGAAAATGACTCTCTCTGGTTTCTAGGCAGTCAGCAACAAGACAAAAATTGAAAACGTCCTGGATTTTTCCCTTTGTGACTTAGGGAAACCTTTGAGAAGGGGTTTTTGGGGTTAAATTGTGCCACTGCTGAGCAGGAAAAGCTGGTGCCTCTGCACACAGTGCTGTGAGCCAGCAGCTACAGGGTGGAATTTCACATTTTTTCTATTCTGTTCATCTATTAACCTGCCCTAAAATGACATAGCACCAGACACTGAGATATTATAGTTGAGGGCAAACAATGCTAAAAATCTTGTTTAAAGGCAGACAAATGTCCTTACAGGATGGCTGGCTTTGGGAAAACCCTTTTTCCAGCTTTGTTCACAGCAGCATGGAAGACAATGGCACTGTGCCTATGAGATACATCCCAAAGCTCTGCTAGGGTCTCTCAAAAGGCACCATCTGGGTCTTTTAATAACAAAAATGGAGAAAAGGGATTGTCAAAAGGGCAAATTGCTCTCAGTGATCAGTGGGATGAATAATTAAGGTTCTCAATCCTCCAAAATAAGGCTCAAAAAGAAATATTTTTATATCTTTGGGAATCTCTCAGACTTACTTCCTCAGCCTGGCTGCTTTGATAATTCATACCTAGATTGCTGTCTTCTTTCCTCTGGACTGCTCAGCTCCCTGCTCATCCTTTCCCAGCAGCTCTGTAACCTCCACACCACGTTCAGAATTCCAGAACGTGTTCCCAAAAGTGTCAAAATCAATCCTGCCACCCATTATTCCAGCTCCTTGCTTTAATCCTCTGTAATCCAACCTCCAAAAGCATCACTACAGTTTCATTCATACTGAGCAGTAGGTTTTAGTGGACATCTGTTTTAGTGGACCACACATCCATGGTTTTCTTCCTTTGGCTTTGGTGTCTCCTATAATTGTGCAAGTTCCAAAATGCAGAAGACACCAAAACCTCCTCTTACTTTCTTTCTCAGCCCAACCAAATGCCACTGTTGTGACAAGTAATTTTGAATCTTTTCACTGTACAGGGACTGGCATAAACATTTTTACGTGAAATTTGGAGTGGTTGTCCAAAGCAGAATTAAATGAAGGTTTTCTCAGAAAAAGTGACATGAAATAGGGCATCTCACTTTCCTCAAACAAACAGCACAAAGTCAATGGAAGCTGAAATGATCTGTGACCAGTCTGCCAGTAAGCCTCCAAAGTCTCTACTAAGCTAAAAATCCAGTGAAAAGTTATAAACGTATTTACAGTGCAAGGAGCCCAGGCTGTTGAATTAGCTGTGGCTCACCTGGGCCATGACCTGAAGCCTGTGCAAAAACAGGTGGAGAAGCCTTGACTGGATCAGCAACTGATTCTCCAACTCAAGGACATAAATACAGAATATAACACCATCAGCACAATCAGGATATCAGAATACAACACTATCAGCACAATCAAGAAGCCTATTCAGTGACTGCCAACCCCTTATCATGAAGGTCCAAAGTCATCCATGCTTCTTTTCCTCTGTTGTTGCCCCTCTGAAGGTCTCATCTGCTCCTCAGAGTTCTGATGAGATTGCTGCACAGTTTGGCATTTGATTAGGATCTGCACAGGTCGGAGCTAGATGGGAGAGGAGCACAGGAAATAACCTTCTCTCTAATCCCTTTATCAGGCAGTGAATGCAATTAGGAGGCCTTGGCTTTGGGAAAAGCCCTGGGTTCCATGTTCAGCATGCTCTGACTGCCTGTCCCTTCCCTGCAGGAGGCAATGTGTGGCTATGTGATCATTGTGATGGCACTTTTCTGGTGCACAGAAGCCCTGCCTTTGGCTGTCACAGCTCTCCTGCCCGTCCTGCTGTTCCCACTCATGAATATCATGGATTCAACAACAGTAAGAGATCTTGTTCCATGTGTTAATCAGTCAGCTGCTTTTATTCTGGGATTATTCCCCAGGATTATATTTATATTATTGATAGTATCATTATTTTATTTTAACTTATTTTTATTATTATAATTATTCTCTGTCTTCTCCATGGACCAGAACTTGCATGAGCCCAGAGTGAGCTCTGGGTGGAGCTGCTAATCTGAACTCAAAGCAAATTCCCCATTCAGGTGCAACCCAGAGTTACTCCCTGCTAATGCCTTTGGAACAAACCCCCTCAGAAAATGTCCCCACCTCTTGTGACTCTTCCCTCTCCCCTGTCCCACCTCACAGGTCTGTCAGGAGTACTTGAAGGACACCAACATGCTCTTTTTGGGGGGCCTGGTGATGGCCATTGCCATCGAGACCTGGAACCTGCACAAGCGAGTGGCTCTGAGGGTCCTGCTGATCACTGGTGTCAGGCCAGCCCTGTGAGTGACAGGGGTGCAAATGCTGTGGGATCGAGGATTTTATGGCATTAGACCCCATCTCTGATGGGAATCTGCAAATCTTTCCCTGCAAATGCTTTCCTGCAGCCCAAGTGAGTTAGTGCCTGAGCAAGCCTTGCAAATGTTGAGGTGTTACACAGCCAGTGTGTCTTTATTTTATTTTATTTTATTTTATTTTATTTTATTTTATTTTATTTTATTTTTATTTTATTTTTTAATTCCAAAAGGCTTTTAGGTGGAGAAATAGCAACAAGGCAGTCAATGCTGCAAAGAGAAGGGTGCTGCCAGGCTAGGCCAGGAGCACAGCTTTGGACAGTCAGGAAAAACCACAGCTGGAGCACAGAGAACCTGGACTCTCTGCCTGCTGCTGATTGCACAGAGAAGAGAAAATATGAGGATGCTTGTTTGGAAAACAACAATTGTTTTCCAGACTAGAACTTTAAGCTATGCACAGGCTACACCACCCTGTTTAATCAGTTTCAGCTCATAAGAAGAGGGAATACTGAAGGAAATTACAAAGCAATAGAATAAAAATGCATACAAGATAAACCCCTTTTCATCTGATATATAATCTACATCTCATCTAAAGAATAATTTTGAGACAAATAACAGAGTAATACTGAAATGAGGATTAGAATTTTAGATGAGTAAGAAGAGAAACTTAAATAACAGAGGTGGGATAAAATAACATGAGAAAAAAAAAAAGAGATCATCTTCCTTATGGCTTAAACTGATTGCCATTTGGGATCAAATTCAGCTTGCAATCCCTCTTCAAAATCTATTATAATGCATTAACATGTGCTATTGAGAAATGTCTTCCTCTGAAGGATGTGGGATAAGCAGGATCTGACTGGATAAACTGCTTGCTCCAAGCTACCAGCTCGCACTTTCTTAGCCACAGGAATGTCAAACAATTGGTTGAAAAAGAGAAATTGATGTTAAATCTTAACTGGGTCACTCACAAAGCAAACCAGGGCAGGAGGAAATGCTGGGTGGGGATCGCTGAGCATTCTCCAAACCCAGCACTTGTAACAAAAAAATAAAGAGCGTTGAAAGGCTGAGTTCTGATGCAGCTTTTCCAACCCTTCTCCTTTCAGACTCCTGATGGGTTTCATGGTGGTGACAGCTTTCCTGTCCATGTGGATCAGCAACACAGCCACCACTGCCATGATGGTCCCCATCGCTCAGGCCGTGATGGAGCAGCTGCACAAGTCAGAAGCACAGTCTGACACCTCTGGCCAAGGGTCTGAACACACCAACAAAGCCTTTGAGCTGCAGGAAAAGTCACCTGAGAGCCTCAAAGAGACAGAGGAAAAGCCAGAGGAAAAAGGTGAATGGGTTGGGGGTGGTTTTTCTTCAGGGTGATGGAGGATGACCTTTCTCCTGTTGTAGCAGTTCCTAGTAAATCCTAAAAGAAGACTGTCCCCAAAGCATCCTGACTGCACCACACAGCCCTGATGAGGCTCTTCCATGAACCAGACAAAACCACATTTTTTATCATTGTTATTATTATTCTGACTTGGCTGAAGTTAAATCAAAAGTACAAAATGGTTATAACTACTCAACAAACTGACAAAAAGTAGAAATTCTCCACCAGGGGAAGCCTTTATACCAGGCTTGCTATTTCCCTGTATATTTATGTTAGTTCAATTATTATCTACTGCGTAACTTATCATATAATAGGGGATTCCCAAGGCAAAATTTCTGGCCTATTTCCAGCTGGAAGGTTAGGGATTAAAATGATCTTTCTAATCCAAAGGTACACAATCAAACAACAATATCTCTGTACCAGCTGTCTTGCCCTCTCCCCATTTTTAAGGTGATTCCAGAGTTTCTGAACATAAATCTCAGTGCCAGGAGACAGGTGCTGGTACAGAAAAAGTTCCTTTTAGCCCAGCTCCTCCAGCTCTGTCACAATTCCCTGAATTCTTGCCTCACTCCCCTCCATGTGCAGTTCAGACATTACCCTCATGCACAAGGAAGTGTCAGCAGTGGGTTCAAACTTTAGCACACATTTCAAATTCCCCTCTGAAAAACTGCTCTGTGTCAAGACAACCAGTGAAAATGGGCAAATCAAAAAATTAACTATTCCAGCCTTAAAAGGAGGAACTTTGGTTCCTTCAGCTTTGAATCCATCCAAATTCCCCTCTGAAAAACTGCTCTGTGTCAAGACAACCAGTGAAAATGGAGAGAAGATCAAAGAATTAACTATTCCAGCCTTAAAAGGAGGAACTTTGGTTCCTTCAGCTTTGAATCCATCATGTCCTAGCCTTGAAATATTAAATTATGCAGGCCCAAGGCTTTTCCTGTCCAATATAGCTCCTGCACCTCTTTTGTTCCTTGGAATCTAGGTAATTCTCATGTCCTGGTAGTTGAGGAAGAGAGAAAGAGAAATGAAGAGATTGAGAAGAAACACTTGAAGCTGTCCAAGGGAATGTCCCTCTGTATTTGTTACTCATCCAGCATTGGAGGGATCGCCACTCTGACTGGGACAACCCCAAATCTGGTGCTGCAAGGACAAGTTAATGAGTAAGTCTGGGATTACACACCCTCCAAACTGCAGCATTCTGCTCCAGCTGGCTCCCAGGCAGCACAGAGAAGGAAAATGTCAGTTTGGTCCCTTTCCTGGGAAGTGAGCTTCTCTTCCCTAATGGGCCCCACAGAACCTCCCCTTTCCTGGCTCATTAATGAAGGACAGAAGAGAGTGTGGAATTTTGGATGCTAACAGCCACCTGCATTTTCCAGCATCTATAAAGACAATGGTGGCATCATCAACTTTGCCTCCTGGTTCTCCTTCGCCTTCCCCACCATGGTGGTGCTGCTGATTTTGGCGTGGATTTGGCTGCAGATCCTGTACTTGGGCTTCAAGTGAGTACCCTGAGCCCCTGCCATGCACCTGGTGGGCTCTGACCAGGGCTTGTTCAACACCAGAGACCTTTTACTGATGAGAAAAACCACACAGCAGGTGGCAAAGTCCTGACACACAACAGAGACCAGAACAGCACTCGGTGCCTGTTAAAATTCTGCAATTTTCCTTTGAGGAATCTGGTCAAATCCCAGCTAAATGTACTCTGTAGGTGCAAACAGGGAGCTCTGAGTGCAGTGACCTGTTCTGCAGCATTGCTGTCGTGTCCTAGGAGATTGCTGTGCTCCAAAGCAGGAAATTGATTTCTACAGAGAGCTGTAAATGCCTTTGTGACCAGGGCTGCTCAGACCTAGAGGATTAGTTCTGGGCTGGTTCTGGAGCAGATCACACAACCAGCCTGCATTGCCTGCCTGCTTAATAAAAAACTCAGCTTTTCATGTTTGTGTCATCCCAACTTCACTCATTCAGTGCTGTCACACCTGAAATGGTATTTTCACCTTCAAATTCCTCCTTTTAAATTTTTGTCATTTTAAAAAAGCTTGGCAACTCTTTACTTCCTAGTGAAGTGATCAAACAGCCTTGTCAATCACATTAACATTGTCCTGGTCTAGTGGAAGGTGTCCCTGCCCACTCATTGGAATGAAATGGAATTTAGAGTCTCTTCCAACACAAACCATTCTGTAATTCTGTAATTTTTTTCCTCATATGTCCAGATATCTCACTTATTTACATTTAAGTAATGAGCTTTTAGGGGCAGGAAGCTTTTTTCTGATCATCTTGACATGCAGCTCCTATTCACCATAGTTGCAAGTTACAATATATTTAATTTCAATATTAATATATAAATACATATAAAGACATTATGATTGAGTATAAAATTTGTATTCTTAACTCTCTGGATACCTGGCAAATTTCTCTGACACTTCTCATCCATTTTCTTCCAGTTTTAAGAAGAATTTTGGTTGTGGTGCCAGTCCTGCTGCCAAGGCTAAGGAGCAACAGGCCTATGAAATCATCAAGGAAGAGAGCAAGAAACTGGGCAAAATGAGCTTTGCAGAAATAGAAGTTTTAATCCTCTTCATTCTCCTGGTGGTGTTGTGGTTCACAAGAGAACCTGGGTTCATCCCAGGCTGGGCAACAGTTCTTTTCAACAAAAATAATACAAGGTAGTGCCCCTTCTCCTCCTCACTTTGAATAAAAATGGAGCAGGCTGGATTTTATCCAGCTGAAGTCACAGCTGACTAAATTCCTGACTGCTCTACCTGCAGCTATGTCACTGATGCCACAGTCGCCCTCTTCATCTCAGTGTTGCTCTTCATCCTCCCTTCTGGCTTTTCCAACCAGGACAGAGACCCAGAGCAAACAGGTGAGTCACTGAGGCACCAAAAACCAACTGTCTGAATGGGTGTGTGGGAAATGTTCACATTTTGGGTTTAAAAAGAAATTTCAAATATTAAATAACACTTCAAGCTGCTCTTCCAGCTGTGTACACAACTTCACAGAAACACACAGAGTTGCTGCCACACCCTTAACTCGCCCTTCCCTGCCTCCTGCTGTGCTTCTTGGAGCAGCTGCAGATCATTCATTACAGCTTTTGCAAGTCAGGCTCTAAAACTATTGCTGCTGGTGCTCCCAGCTTCAGGAGGTAATTCCAGAGTTTGCTGACAGAGGGATTCCTGACATGTGGAAACCCAGAGCACTGAGAATATTTCTCTGTCTGCTTGGGGTGCCCTGACCCCCAGGGGAGCACTGACTCTGACCCTCATTCGTGGAGAAAGTTTCCCAGAGTTCAAGATAGACTAAAATCCACAAAAGTGTGAAATAGATTATAGAGAGTAGTGTAGGTGAATCACTTGGTGGGAAATTTAGGGTTTGGGATTTTTAGTGTGTTGTGGATGGAAGCAAGATGGAGGGCACAGAGTGTTGTCCTGGGTTTCTTCTTCATGCTTCTTCTTCTTCCTTCTTCATGGGTTTGGGTGGCATTTTGTAATTGGGCAGAAAAGTCCACACTGGGGCTCTTTGGGATCAGTTATTGGGTTAAAAGGGAAAACAATCCAGGTGTCAGTTCTTAACTGGAGAGTTTAGTCTTAAAGGACCTTGTGACAAAATATTGTTGGCCGTTTTGTGCCTTCTGATGGAAAGCTGCAGAACTCATGGTTGTGAGGCTGTTTTACTGATAAGAAACAATAAACACCTGAGTCTGGACATGAAATACCACCTCAAGTGCCTTCAACCCAGACCCAGAGAGACCAACAGCTGGAACTCCTGCACTGACCTTCAGACCAAGCTCCCCTCCCACCAAGAAGCTCTCCTTTCTTTGGGGAATGCAACTTTGTGGTTCACAAAATCTCTTTTGGGTTCCAGGGGGCAGGGCAAGGTTCCGGGCGCCTCCACCCCTCCTGGACTGGAAGGTTGTTCAGGAGAAGATGCCGTGGAACATCGTGTTCCTGCTGGGAGGTGGCTTTGCCTTGGCCAAAGGCAGCGAGGTAACATTCCCTGCTGTGTCCTCCTGGCTGGTTCCTCTTCCATCTTGCTCTCCCAGGACACAAGAGGGCACACCCGGAGCGTCAAATGCTCCTTTCCCCAGCTCCTGCAGCGGGGCATCCTTGCAGTGCTGGCATCAAACCCTGGTTTTTCCCCATGCCAATCAGGGCAGCATCATTAAATGTGTTTCTGGAAAACCGGCTGATTAAGAAACTGCCCCAACGCATTAAAGGTTGTTTTAAATAAAGTGTAACTGGTGCAGCCAGCATGATGAGATGGTTCACCCAGGAGGGGTCTCCAAAGTATTTCAAAGCAAGGATTTATGGAAATAGGATTTAAATGAAACTATTAGAAGAGAAATGTAGAGCTTGATGGAGAAACTTCAGGAGCAGGTGAAAAACATCTGCAGGAACAAGTCCAGTGCTACACATTATTTTTCAGTAATTATTTAAGTGATGGAACAGACAATCCATTTATTAAATCTATAGGCAACAAAGAAATTTTAAAAGGTTTCAAGTGCCTAGAAATATTAGTTAAAAATTCAAAGACCAACAGTAAAATGGAAAAAGTACATGTTTGGAAAAGGAAATATTTAGGAAATTATTTTAATTTATCCTAGAATAAATAACAAAATACATAAGAGCTGCTGCAGAAAGTCCAGAGTGACAGGGAGGATGCTGCTACTTCCCAGTGACTGACAAGGATGAAGGGTGTGAAAAGATTCAGACAGTTATCAAGATCTCAGACAATGTGATGAAATTACACTAAATCACTACAACATCTGATAAGATTTATATTAAAATATTTTAGGAAATTAATTCAAATATCTTCGCTTATATATTAAAAAATCACCTCAAATATTGGTCATGTACAAGTAATGATCTGAACAGAGAACTAATTATTTGCTGTCATTAATGCACTATAAATGCAGGATCTCCATGGGAAATAATGTTGATTTTGTTTTGTCTTGGGGTTTTTTTGGGGAGGGGTTTGTTTTGTTTTGTTTAACTTCCTGACCAATCCTGTCTATGAGCACTGGCTGTGTTTTCCTGCAGCTTGCATGAAAACTTTCTGAGAAGGGAGAGCTGAACTGGCATGAGAACTGCAACAGAACACTGATGTGGCTCTTCCCTCTCCAAGCTGGCATCTCTCTCTGCTCTCCTGCAGGAATCTGGTCTGTCTGCGTGGCTGGGCACCAAACTGACCCCTCTGGAGAGCATCCCTCCCCCAGCCATTGCCTTCCTCCTCTGCCTCCTCATCGCCACCTTCACCGAGTGCACCAGCAACGTGGCCACCACCACCCTCTTCCTCCCCATTCTGGCTTCCATGGTGAGTCCCAGCATGTCAAAATACTCCTTTAAGGACAGTTTTCAGCTCCTCAGTTGCCAAAACTATCTGGCTGGCAAAGCCAAGCACTGGTTCCTGTATCTCATCAGGGGTACCAGACCTGAAACAAAAATCTGTGTGGGCACATGGGAACACACACCGTGCTTAGTTCAACCTTTCTGAAATCATTGCTGGGGAAAAGCAAAGGGATTAAATTCATTGGCAAATGAAGGCTTTCCCTTCTGGCCTAAACATGAGGTCACTGCCAGCTGTACTTGTTTTTTCCAATTTGTTCTGCACGGAGACAGCAGCAGCAGCATTTCCTTGCCTGCAACATTCCATGACTGTATTTCACCCCCACCAAGGCCTTGCAGAGCCTCTGAAGGTGATAGCATGACCTAATTCAGACTTCTGCATTTCCACAGGAGATTCCTGTTGCTGGGCTAGACAGAGTTCTGCAAACTGAAAAGCTGGTTCCAGACAGAAACTGGAATGAGCTCCTCAAAAATCTTTTTGCATAGGCCACAGACTCCAGCCAGCCCTTAAACCAAAGCTCTCACCTCCAGAGCTTCACCTGCCTCCCCTGAAAATTTAATTTTGTTCTTAACCAGGGTTTAGAGCTGAATATAAGCATTATTTATCCATTTATACAAAGCCCTGACCACAAAATCAATTCTTGCATTTGCTGCGTAAAGATGCTGGAAGTGTCTGAAGCAGCACCAAAATGTGAGTGGCTGCAGTGTTTGGGGAAGAATGAGCCTTCTGGCATGGACAAACACAACCAGATTCCTGTGCAGTTCTGGGTGTCAAACCCATCACCTCTGCTCTCTTTTTGTGCACAGGCTGAAGCAATCTGCCTCAACCCTCTCTATGTCATGCTGCCCTGCACACTCTCTGCATCGCTGGCCTTCATGCTCCCCGTGGCAACTCCTCCCAATGCCATCGTCTTCTCCTATGGACAGCTCAGGGTTATTGATATGGTGAGGAAAAAAAACCAAAACAACATTTTCTTTCCAGAATTTTCACCCCTAGGTTTGATCTCTCCTTTTCCTAATGCTGGTTCTTCTTGGGGGAGCGTTAGAAAGTCAGTGTGCCAGGCTTATGTCAAGTGGAAAGAAGATGTGTGTGCATTAATAAAGGGTCACACTGTCTCTAATACACTCTGAGAATCTTAGAAAGGTGCTAATGAGCCTTTAAAGAACAGCCAGGGCCTCTTGAAGATTTTATAATAAGAGATGTCAATGTCTAACTGCTTGAAAAACCCAAATGTAGAGCATGAGGGTGTCAAAGGGCCCTGTCACCTGGGCAGTGCTTCTGCAGGGACAGCAAACAGCCTGGCACATCTCACTGGGTGCCCTGATGCCTCAAGAAGTCACTAGAGATGCAAGGACAGCAGTGCCACGTCTCTTGATAACTTTCCTAACTTATAATTGATCCAAGAAGAAACCCAAAGTGACACTAGAGAGGAATACCAGGTGAGAAGAGAAGTGGATTAAAAGGGTTTGGGACTTCAAGTTTTAAGAGTTTTATCCAATTGAAATCTTGTCATTTATACGAATTATATATTATTGTGAAGAAATCCAGCTTAAATATAATTTGGTGGAGAGAAAAGAAATTTTCTCTTTTTGGCCAAAGAGAAAATCAAACCATGCAAACCATCCTAACCATCAAGGAAGGAGAAAAGCGCTCAGGGCTGCTAACAACCCTTCTCTTTTGTAATTCTAGGCCAAAGCTGGGTTTGTACTCAACATCCTGGGAGTCCTGACCATAACTCTGGCCATCAACACCTGGGCTTCATCCTTGTTCCAGCTGCAGACCTTCCCATCGTGGGCAAACAGGACAGGGACCTGCCTGTGACCTGGGACAGACAGAGCCAGCACTGCCCCTGCCAGAGCTGCAAGGACAGCAGGGCTGTCACCCACCGAGCTCTAGGGAAAAGCCTGTTCTGGGGAAAAGGACAAGCAAAATCCTCCCAATGGAAGCAGCAGTAAAATTGCCCGGTTGCTGTTGGGTTTTGCCACCCCAGCAGGAGGATGAGGTGATTTTTGGCTTTCCAGCCCTCCCACCTTTAGGTTTTCTGCCTCTTCAGGGGTGTTTGCCCCCAGTGCTTTTCCAGTAAGTCTGAAATCTGCAGCGAGAAAAAAAGAGAGAGGTGTGAATAGAGAAAAGGAAGGAGAGAGACTCTGGGTTCCTGATTTTGTGCACAGGCCTGTGCTGTCACAGCTCTCCTGTATATGTATAAATGTTCAAGGTGTACATGATTGTTATACACTCTGTGGGCAAGCTGTGTGTTGTGTGAAAAATCACTGTCAGCCCCTCCCATTTTGAAATATATTTATTTGCAGTCCCCTTGTTAGGAATGTAAAAGATGAATTTTCTCCCGGAGCATCCACCCCTGGTGTTATTTATGTCAGATTACAGCCTGCAAGTTCATGGTAAGACCTTTCCTTGAAAAGGAGAGAACCCGTGTCCTAAAATATGTATGATTGAATTAAAGATTTTTTTTAATGTACCCCTGTGTTCTAGAGTTTGGGGTTTTTTTAATTATAAATCACTGCTTCTGTCCTCCAGGTATCAACTGCTTGTCCCTGTTCTCACTTACAATATCTTTAAATAATCAGAGAAATCAGCATAGTTGATTTTCTCTTATCTTTAAAGTAGCAATTATGTTGTTATTATTACTGAGTCAAATTTTCTTGGACTGTGCAGGCCAAGATCTTCCTTTGTAAAAGCCTATTATGTAATCCTGCTCCATATCTAATCCCTATTCTGCTGGAGCTGACTTTCAGTAGCAGATAAATTCCTAATGACCAAAGTGACAAATATCCAAAAGCCCTTTGCCAGATCTCTCAGTGCCATAAATGAGGTTGGGTTCAGGCAGAGCAATTACTCAATTGTGCCCCTGAAGTTTGCTCTGAAACCTTTGTTCTGCTGTTACCTGCTTCAATTCTGCACAAAGTGCAGTTCTGAAATCCAGTCTGGTGGGATCTCCATACTGGTTCCATGAGAGTGAAAATCAGGGAATTTCACTCTAAAACAATATGTTCTCCTCAAAATCTTTCTTTTTTCTTTCTCTGCCCTAATTATTAGGACATGAGGGCACCGTGCAGTATATTTTTGATTAATAAAATGCCCAAATTCATTGACTTGCTGCAGTTTTTTTTCCAGTTCCAAAGATCCAGATAATTCTGGTGTCTGCTGGTCATTAATTCCTCAGCACTGATGGTTCCAGTGGCTGTGGAAATCACTGTCTTGGAAAGAACAGCCTGGTTTAATCCTCCTGTGGCTTTGATGGAGCTTTAATTTGATGTGAGATAGAGATCCAGCAGAATATCCACAGCTCCAGAAGGAAAGGCATTTATTCTCTGTTGCTAATGAGCTCCTGGCTAACAGATTTCAATCACATAATGACTTGCTCAGGTCACTGCTACACCACTCTCCTTTCCCTTTGGGTTTACCTCTATTAAATAACACCCAAATCTCTCTAAATATTTTCATTTCTCTGCTCACCCTCTGTCTGAGGACTTAAAAATGCCAAACTGGAGTAGATTATTTGCTGAGAGCCTCTCCCTTCTCCCTCCCTTTGTCTCCAGCATCAGGGCAGTGTGCTCTGCTTTTGTTTGCTTTTTGTTTTCTTTGAAATACTCCCGTAGACTTTACATGTCCTCCCAAATTACTGCTTAGCTAAGCAGGAAAGGTGGAATTCTTATAACATTTCCCATCTGCCTCTCCTTCCAGCCCTTTTAAAACTCTGTTATGGTTCTTTGAAGTCTTTTCTATTAGTCTACATTATTCAGAGGCTGTGGTGTGCATAAAGTACCTGCAGGAGCACAGGTGCAATCTTTATGCCAATCTCAAGAAGAAAGGAGGGAGACATCAAGTAGCACAGAGTGTCATGGGGCCAATGCATTAATGCTGTGCTCCACCTTCATTAACATGGGTGAGGAGAGATTTACCAGGGAATGTCTGCAGTGGGAGTTACTCAGAGGGGGTAAAAATGCCCAAATTCCAGAAAAAAAATATAGGTGAAAATCGAGAGAAGAGGAAGAGAAGAGAAGAGAAGAGAAGAGAAGAGAAGAGAAGAGAAGAGAAGAGAAGAGAAGAGAAGAGAAGAGAAGAGAAGAGAAGAGAAGAGAAGGAACAACAAACAGGACACAAGGAGAACTGAGAAGAACAAATAGGACACAAGGAGAACTGAGAATTCCATGACCAGTTTCCACCTTGCAGTGGCACTGGGCAGTTCACTGCCTTGGGTGTGTCTGAGCTCAGGACCAGTCGAGGTACAGCTAAATATAGTGTGCTTGTGCAAAAACCAGTAACACTATTAAAAATTTTCATAATTTTCTAAGCAAAGCAGGTAGAAAGTGTTTCTAAGCCCCATTATTACCCGGATCACCTTTGAAGGGTGGTTCCCCATTATGTTTCCAGATATTGCCCTCAAGGAGTGGCTCCATTTCCCATTGTGAGATCAAATTTCACAATCTGCTGTGAAACTGCCAGCTCAGCACCTGCTGTGCTCAGCTGGGATTCCCACTGCAGCTCCTCATCTCCCAGCTGACACCAAGTTTGCTTTCCACAAGTGATAAATTTGGTAACGAGGAGGGGACCTGTGTCTCTTTTTCGCCTGCCTTGGCCTAAAAACTACTCTGCAAAACCACAAAATACAGGTTTCCAGCAGTGAGTAAGTGGGTGACTCGGAGTCACCTCCTCATTCTCCCTGCAGTTATGGAGCTGTCCTGCCTTGCCTTGCACACACACGGAGTTTCTGCAGGCACACACATGCACTCTGAGGGAACAGGGAGGCCTTGCCCTGGTAAAAACACACCATTTCTGTGACCACACCATAAAAGCTGATGGTTTCTGGGCAGGAGCCTGAAAAATCGCTTACATTTGGGAAAGGCACCTGGCCATAAACACCTCGGCAGCAATTTGTAAAGTGGCATGGGAGTGATGCAAGGGTCACTGAAATCATAAACAGACTTAACAGGACACATGGCAATTTCAAAGCTGAACCAGGATGAAGCCAGCACATCTTTCTAATCCTCAAATTGCTTTGGAGAAACCAAAAATGTGCTCCCAGTCACTTAAGAGGTATTAAAATGAGCCTTGTTGTATAGCACTGACATCGTGAAATATGCCCAGGACATACAACTCAATTGCTAAACTTTCATTAAAAATAAAAGTAAATAAACAAAAATTACTTGGAAGGGCTCCTTATCATAAAATGGACATTAAATAATTCTCAAAAAGGTGAAAATTATTTTCAGCAAAAAAACAGAAACACGAGGTTCTGTATTTTATTCAATAATTAGCAGCATTGGGTAACTGTGGATCTTTCTCCAGGAGCTGTAAAAGCTGTTCCTCTTGTGTCCTTGAGGAAATTCCTCCTTGGATAACTATGGCATGTTGGCAGCTCTGTGCATCTGCAGCCTCTCTCCATTTGGTTTATTTTATTTTAGGAATGCAACTCTCTGCTCTCAACTAGCCCACTGGATTTAGTGCTTGCCAAAGCAGAAACAGAGTTTAAACCCTCTGCAATGATGAATAACTAAAGAACAGAAAGCAGAAACACGAGGACTTAAGAAATACCTAACTTGAAATCATCCTGGAATTTCACAACCCTCCATTTTTTTTTTCTTTTTTTTTTTTCCCAACATGGGACCAATAAAACTATTTACAACTTGATTCACTGAACTTTATGGCTTGAGTTAGTAATGAGCAAGGTGCCAAAGTCTGGAAATGAAGTGGTTTGGATGTACTAATCACCTGGTGTCCAAACTAACAACTGTTTAATGGAACTTAATCACTACTGTCAATGCTGGGTATTTTCTCCTATTAAGGAGACATTTAGTATTATTTATCCTTTAATCATATTAACACACCGAAACCATGCTGGTGCCATGCAGGAGGTGCAGGTTCCCTCCCCAGGTGTCATCTCCTGGCTGCAGACACTGCACCAGGCCCAGGGTCCCCAAATCCAGGCCAAGCACCTGGGCTGGTGTTGATTTTCCTTGGAAAAATCCCTTAAAAAGGAATGGAACAAGGGAACACTTCCCAAAAGCAGTGCAGGGCAGCAGAGTCACACATTTAATAACATTTATGAAAATTGTCCAAAGGGGAAAAAAATCAAAGCAGCAAAACCAAATGAACTTGAAAATAGAGAAGGAACAGAATTATTAATTCAAGGGTTCAACACATTTGTTTTTATGAATCAGACCAGATTCAACTGCTTCAAGGCTCAGATGTTGGATGCCTGTGTGAGGTATTTGTGATCTAACAATGAATCACAATACTTTTAGTTGCCACTGCACCTGAAATATTAACTAGAATTAGTTAGACCATCAGAAACTTACTCTGCTTCCAATTTATACCATTCAGAGGACTTCAGGTCCTGCCCACCTAGCAGCACTCCAGGAATTTCCTCACTTCCCTTGATCCCTGTCCAGTCCATGAGGAGTAGAGCAATTCCAATTTTCCCCCGTCTAGGAGTTATCATTCTTTGGAAGAGAATTTCAGTAATTTCCCAATTCAGAAACCCAATTTCATTAATTCTGCTGATTCTTGTTCCTTTCCATCAAGCACAAAGAGAAGTGGTCAGGGCTGCCCATGAAAATAAAGTGCACGAATAAGGAATTGCACAATGGGAGAGCAGCAGGGTGTGTGCAGGGTGCTCCAGTTAGCTGGACTGGCACCAGCATTCCCAGTTTCCTCTTGAGAGGACTCCAGTGAGCACTGGTTAGTCTGGGGCAGTTTGGTGACTGCAAAAGGAAAGCCACATTTCCCTTCTTTGCTCTGGGACTCTCCTGATGGGACTTGCCAGAAAGCTGAAAAAGGATCCTCTTTCTTTGGTCTGTCACCCGAAGGGAGCCTGAGCTTTCCTCCTTGCTCTTACCTCTGGCAATGTCACTGCTGCTACACGAAACCTGCAGTCATAAATCACTCGTGTGCCTCACAGATAACACAGCTGGACAGTGGCAGCCTCCTCACACCTGTGCTTTTGCTTTTCCCCTCAGCAAGGGCTCTTGTGGCACTGGGGGCTGCAACTGGCACAGGAGAAATGGCAGCCCACAGGATTCCATGGACATAACCCAAAATAACCTTTGGGTCATGTTTTTATCACCCAGGCTCTGGGGCAGATAGCAGCATCAGCAGGATTAGTTCTGAGGACTTTTAGGGTGCAGATAGGGCAGCTTTCCCCCCAAGTTATTGGCAAAAATCAATGATGGCAGCCAGAGCTACCTGGATAGTCACAACAGATTGGTGAATGGGGCAGCAAAAACAAGCACCAATTTCATGCTCATGCACTATCTGTTAATTTAAGATTCCCTGACTGTTGGTGGATTACGTGGTGCATGGGCAAGACAAAAATAAATGTCTGAAATAAATTCAGAAAAGGCTGAGGCAGAGCTGCCAGAGGGGCAGGCTCTGACTGAATCCTGGCTCAGAAACCAAAGCCTTTCTCCCAAGTGAGCACAGGGGGTGTGGAAGTGCAGGAGTTCACACTCTAAGCTT